AAGGGGTTACTGAATACTATATCAATACTTAAGCACCTGCAAATATTTAAGTGTATCTCCCACATCCGAGTGAATACGACAATGTAATTGGTTTCAATTTAAAGGTCAACCACTCCTCTTGGATATATTATCAGCCTTTTGGGTCTATGACCTTCAGTATTTAATATATACGCTATAGAATACAAATCGGGTCTATGATCTTCAGGATTTATTATTGATTTATTATTGACTGATCTTTATCAAAACAGGCATGGTTATTCTTTGGCCCGATCCCAATCTCCATGTAAAATCTCGCGATGTTTGGGCCATAATTGCGGCCTCTGGAGCAATCAGAAAATCAGACAAAAATAACGTTTTTTTCTCCATTTCATCCCCTACATATTAACCGATCTTTACCAAAAACAATAGGGGTCTTCATTGGCCAGAACCTATTCTACATGCAAAATTTCGTGAAAATTTGTCTATAACTGTTGCCTGTATCGTGTTTACAAATTATAATGGGCAGACGGACGGACGGACACTCATGTCCAGATCGACTCAGCTAGTCGAAATATGACGATCGGTATACTTAATGAAGGGTCTAGCACCAATATTTCGCGGCGTTACAAACTCTTGGGGCTGCTCAAAGATATAATACCCTGACAGCATAGTTGTGTAGGGTATAAAAATCCACGCCTTGTGTAGGGCTAGGCCTAAATGTGGACTATAGCTCAATGTTCTCGATATCCTCCGCAGGTTAAATAATTACAACAGCGTCTTAGAACCAAACAAATAAGATAACTATTTCAATATAAGGATAACTATTTTAATATAAACCAGCAAAGAAAGTTCAAAAGTCGGACGGGGCCGACTATATGATACCCTTCACCACTTTGGATACATACACAAGATTTACAATATCCTGTATATATAACATATATAGAATCTTTGGAGGACCATTGAGATGGAATCGGGCGAAATTAAATGTGCTATCTAGATAGATGTTTGAACCAATTGAAAACCAGTAAGGAAAGTTCAAAAGCCGGACGGAGCCGACTATATGATACCCTTCACCACTATGGGTACATGTAAGACATTTTAATATCTACAATATCCTGTAGATATAGAAATTTCGCATACATCAGTCGGGACCTAATTCAGTACTCTGTGCACAATTTTGTCTCAATCAGATAAATATTGGCAGTATGGAGCTTCATTTACATAAAATGGGACGAAACTATATATAGCAGCTATGTCTAAATCTGTACCGATTCCAACAAAATTTCACATACATCAGTCGAGACCTAATTCAATACTCTGTGCAAAATTTTGTCTCAATCGGACAAATATTGGGAGTTTGGTGCATCACTTACCTAACATCGGACGAAACTATATAAGGGAGCTATATCTAAATCTCAACCGATTTTCAATAGGGGTCATCCTTGGGCCAAATAAGTGAACTGTGCAAAATTTCATCCAAATCGGTTCATAAATGCGACCTGTACCTTGTTCACAAAATTCCATGGACGGACGGACATGCGTAAATCGACTCAGAAAGTGATTCTATGCATATTCTCAAAAGGAAATGGGTCTATCGCGATTCCTTTTGCCTGTTAGAAACATATGCACAATGACATAATACCCACAGTGTGTGAATGGTATAAAAAGGGGATAATATGGGGACGACCCCTAAAACGGAGTGAATGTTAATAATTTTTTGGTAGGGAGATTTGTTACCATATACGACTACAAAATACCAAATTTCAGCGAATTCGGTTGAAAAATGCGCTCAAGAACCCTAAAATACCGAACATTGGGGGTACCCTTATATGGGGGCTACCAGAAAAAATTTACTTATATTTATAATTTTTAGTGGAGATATTTGGTATCCAATAAGAACCCAATGTATCAATTTTCAGCGAATTCGGAGGAAAAACGCGCTCAAGAACCCCAAAATACCGAAATTTAGGGGTACTCTTATATGGGACCTACTAGAAAAAATGGACTTATATTTATAATTTTTAGTGGAGATATTTGGTACCCAATAAGAACCCAATGCTCCATATTTCAGCGAATTGGGTTGAAAAACGTGCTCAAGAGCCTAAAAATAGGTGCTCAAGAGCCTCAAAATGCCCTTATATGGGAGCTATGTCTAAACGTGGACCAATAAAGCCCATCTTCGAACTTAACCTGCCTGCAGACATAAGACGACTCTATGCAAAATTTCAGCACCCTATCTCAATTCCTTCAGAAGATAGCGTGATTACAACAGACGGACGGATCGTCTTAGAATTTTACCCTGAAATGAATATTTCGATGAGTTACAAACGAAATGACAAAATTAATATACCCTCCATACTATGGTGGAGGGTATAAAAAATCCACACCTTGTGTGTTTGGGCCTTAAAGATAATTTTTAAAAGATTCACGCTTTGTGTGTATGGACCTTAAAGAAAATTTGTAAAAAATCCACGCTTTGTGTGTATGGACCTTAAAAATAATTTTTAAAAAAATCCACGCCTTGTCTAAGTTTTTGAAAAATAATTTTTAAAACCTTCATGAGGGCACGTGAACCGCATTCCCTCAGTATCTATACATCATCAATGTTGACTGGCTATTAATCAAAAAATATTTATAGAATGGTGACCCCTTAAATTTCGCTCGTGTCTTTTCGTTCGATTTCAGATGTTTCCCTGACTCTTAGCAGCAGATTACCAAGCAAACAGTGTGGTGAGATTATAACAAAATATTTTCATATTCTCATCTGCACCCCCCTCTACCTTATCAGCATCTGAAAAATTTCAAATTTCCTAATCGGCCGTCCAATTTCTGATTGTGTCGGCAAATTATTCTTTGAAGCCGTTGAACCTAATCAGACAACTCCCTGCCTGGACTGGAGGGGACACCATAGTTTACTGGGTTATTTTGTTTTTCTAGAATAGAATATTGTGAGACATCACGCCAGTTCAGTTTGGCATCGCAATCGCTATCAAGACAAACGGCTATGAGATAAAGTTTTTCGAACTGAGCTGAGCCCTACACTCGGAAAGAGGGTCAGCCGCAGTATACGAAGAAGAACAACAACAACAGCCGCACAAATAACAACGTAGCAATTCATTAATACTAATAACAAATGAATTATAATTTTTTTAATGAGAGATTAATTGTGTGTGCATTCGGTAGGCGATTATCAGTCGTGGACAGTGAGTGCGTCGCTTGGGCCAGAAGAAGTGTTCCCAAATATGCGCCACCACAATGCATGCAGGCTGCACAATAACAAAAAACCACAAGCTCAAGATGAAGATGTTATTGTGTGGATTTTATCAGTTTTATATGTTGTTGTTGTTGTCTGGAATACCCTACGGAAGGTCCAACAACAATAGCCAGCAATTTTGCTATAGGGGAGGGATAATCGTTCTTATCAGAACATTTTTTAAAAATTATTTTTTATTAATTAGACAAGGCTGATTTTTTTTTAAATTTATTTTTTATTAATTAGACAAGGCGTGGATTTTTTAAAAATTATTTTTTATTAATTAGACAAGGCTGATTTTTTTTTAAATTTATTTTTTATTAATTAGACAAGGCGTGGATTTTTTAAAAATTATTTTTTATTAATTAGACAAGGCGTGGATTTTTTACAAATTATTTTTTATTAATTAGACAAGGCGTGGATTTTTTAAAAATTATTTTTTATTAATTAGACAAGGCGTGGATTTTTTAAAAATTATTTTTTATTAATTAGACAAGGCGTGGATTTTTTAAAAATTATTTTTTATTAATTAGACAAGGCGTGGATTTTTTAAAAATTATTTTTTATTAATTAGACAAGGCGTGGATTTTTTAAAAATTATTTTTTATTCATTAGACAAGGCGTGGATTTTTTAAAAATTATTTTTTATTAATTAGACAACGCGTGGATTTTTTAAAAATTATTTTTTATTAATTAGACAAGGCGTGGATTTTTTAAAAATTATTTTTTATTAATTAGACAAGGCGTGGATTTTTTAAAAATTATTTTTTATTAATTAGACAAGGCGTGGATTTTTTAAAAATTATTTTTTATTCATTAGACAAGGCGTGGATTTTTTAAAAATTATTTTTTATTCATTAGACAAGGCGTGGATTTTTTAAAAATTATTTTTTATTCATTAGACAAGGCGTGGATTTTTTAAAAATTATTTTTTATTCATTAGACAAGGCGTGGATTTTTTAAAAATTATTTTTTATTAATTAGACAAGGCGTGGATTTTTTACAAATTATTTTTTATTAATTAGACAAGGCGTGGATTTTTTACAAATTATTTTTTATTAATTAGACAAGGCGTGGATTTTTTACAAATTATTTTTTATTAATTAGACAAGGCGTGGATTTTTTAAAAATTATTTTTTATTATTGGATTATTTTAAAATTTATTTTTTATTAATTAGACAAGGCGTGGATTTTTTAAAAATTATTTTTTATTAATTAGACAAGGCGTGGATTATTTTAAAATTTATTTTTTATTAATTAGACAAGGCGTGGATTATTTTAAAATTTATTTTTTATTAATTAGACAAGGCATGGATTTTTTAAAAAATATTTTTTTTAATTAGACAAGGCATGGATTTTTTAAAAAATATTTTTTTTTAATTAGGCAAAGCATGGATTTTTTAAAAAATATTTTTTTTAATTAGGCAAAGCATGGATTTTTTAAAAAATATTTTGTTTTAATTAGGCAAAGCATGGATTTTTTTGTAAATTATTTTAGCTCATCCGCCTGGTCGTTTAATACCCGTCCGCCCCTCTTCCCCTAACATAAGACAATGGAAAAAGTCATCAAGTGATTTATTTGCTCTCTCGCTCTCCTCATCATCGTTGTCGATTCCGATGCACAATCACTCATCCATTCATGAAAGAAAGAAACTACAACTTGCAAAGCGTGTTGTAAGGCAAAAACAAAGAAATCGCCAACAGTTTGTTGTCGCATTTACTAAAGCTCGCGCACAACGGAACATCTGTCCCGATCGACGACGCAGCAATGATGACCAGGACCTTGGGTATACGTTTCATACTCATCTACATTAGCCACCAGCTGTTGGATTTCAACACAGCCCTGACCATCACCACAGGTCATTGCTATAAGAATATCACGGTCAAGTACCAGGCACCGGTCACCAAGACCCGTCACAAATTGGATACAACCCATCTGGAATATTATGTCGAAATGGAAGATCGTATGCGGGTGGAGACGGTACGCGTCTGTTGTCCTGGTTTTCGAAAAATCCTCTTTGGCCTATGTGAACCCATCTGCAGCAACAAATGTCCGGAGAACAGCTATTGCAGTGAACCCGAGAAATGTCAGTGCAAACGAGGCTATGAAGAATCTCACAATCATCATGTTCGGTCCATAATACCGCCGAATACCACGGAATATCTAGAATGTCGTCCCATCTGTACGGGTGGTTGTGCCGCAGCGCATACCCATTGTGTGGGTCACAACGAATGTGGCTGTAGGCCTGGCTATAAGGATGTTAGCTCGTGGTTTGGTCCAATGCGTTGTGAACGTATTCAGTGTCCGACGGATCAGGTCTATGATATTCCACAACGTAAATGCGTGACCGTGGATATGGATTTGGAGCAGCTAATGCAAAGGGTGGCTCGAAAATTGGCCAAAGGCTTAAATGATTTGGAATATGAGGATGATGACGATGAAGGCGGAGATGTTGAGGGGAATTCAAAGAGAGACTGATTATTTTGAATTTTTTTCTAGAAATAAGTGTATGTGTGTAAGAGTGTGTATGTGTAATAAATATTGAAAACAAATACAGAAGTTCTTTTTTTTAATATTTATGAGGACTTACATAAGGCGTGGATTTTTTTAAAAAATATTTTAAAGGTCCAACGACACAAGGCGTGGATTTTTTTTAAATTATTTTTTAAGGTCCCTACATACAAGGCGTGGATTTTTTTAAAAATTATTTTTAAGGTCCATCGACACAAGGCGTGGATTTTTTAAAAACTATTTATTAAGGTCCATCGACACAAGGCGTGGATTTTTTTTAAATTATTTTTTAAGGTCCCTACATACAAGGCGTGGATTTTTTTAAAATTATTTTTTAAGGTCCATACACACAATGCGTGGTTTTTTTAAAAAATATTTTTTAAGGTCCATCAACACAAGGCGTGGATTTTTTAAAAATTATTTTTTAAGGTCCATCGACACAAGGCGTGGATTTTTTAAAAATTATTTTTTAAGGTCCATCGACACAAGGCGTGGATTTTTTAAAAATTATTTTTTAAGGTCCATCGACACAAGGCGTAGATTTTTTAAAAATTATTTTTTAAGGTCCATCAACACAAGGCGTGGATTTTTTAAAAATTATTTTTTAAGGTC